CACTTCCAATTTGCCTTGATTCATGGACCTAACATTCCAGGTCCCTATGCAATATTGCTCTTTACAGCATCAGACCTTGCTTCTACCACCAGTCACATCTGCAACTGGGTGCTGTTTTTGCTTTGGCTCTATCCCTTCATTCTTTCTGGAGTTATTTCTCCACTGATTCTCCACTGTCCCCCAAAAAGGGACATTGTAAGCCTAACACCCAGGACTCCAAAATGTGCCCTCATTTACAAACAGGTTCACTACAGATGTAACCAGCTATGAGGAGGTCATGGAGGAGGTGGATAGGCCCCTAACACAATACCCCTGGTGTCCTGATGAGAAAGGACAGATAAACACAGGGAGACGGCCCCATGAATGTGACAGCAGAAATGGGGGTGAAGTGTCTACACACCGAGGAGCCATGCAGGACAGCCGGCAGCCACGAGAAGCTGCAGAGAGGCAAGGACTCTCCTTCCCACCTCAGAAGGAGCCAATCCTGAGACACCCTCAGCTCAGACTCCAGTCTCCAGAGCCGGGGACAATGCACGTCCACTGTTCTGAACTACCACGTTTGCGGGACTTTGTTACAGCAGCCCTGGGAACTAAGAGGTATTTATAATAAGCATCTGAAACATAATGAAGTTGTGTCTTTTCTTAACAGAGAGAGGCCTACTGCACAGCACCATGGCAGTCACCAAGTGCCCTTGGGTGAATGTCAGGATTAACACACTTTAAGTTGAACTACAGCAAGACTGTGAGAAAGCTTTAATGGATGATTCAGCTTCTCTAGTACACTTACACATTCAAGATTTTAATCATTTCTAGATTAACAGAAAATTAGCATCATAGAGAAGTTTCACAGAGAAATTACTGTTTTTCCAGTTGAAAACTCAATTATCATTAATTCCAGGTCTTAAAAGCCTGGGAGGGGGGGAGGTGGACAAAAACTTGCTTTTCTAAACTAAAGGCTTAATCTGCACTGTTCCTAAGAGAGAAACATAAAGGTCGCAGCAATATCCCAGTTCTGCGACACTCAGAGCATCTGTCCAGCTTTAACCCTCTTCTGCACCATGCCTCCCCTCCCCTCCCCCACTCCCGCACTGGGGGGACGGGTTCTTCCCACTGAGCCACCTGGGAAGGCACATCAACATAAGGCTGGGCTTATCCCAGAATTCCGAAAACAAGGAACAAATTAAGAAATGTCATTTATTCAGAACTTGAGGCTAAAAAAAAAATCTCAACAAAAATTAGCTTTAAAACACCTGAAAACAATTATGAACAGAAAGGATAACCTTTGATGCTCCATTTAATGTGATGATTAAAACTGCTTAATGTTAAAAACCAACAAACCATCTAATAACTTATTCAGTTTTTTCATCTGAATGGTAAAAATCTTTGTGGAGCGTAACAAGTCTATTTTAATTTTTGGTATTTTTTTCAGACAACTAGCACCATGCTTGGTACAACAAAAGTTTACAATTAAACAAATTATTACAGATACGTTGGAAATGTTAATACACGTTGAAACTGTCTGAGTAAAGAAACACCTTCCCATCCAATATTTATGCACCTTGTATTCCACCTCCACTATCCATCCTTCCCTGTCTTACAACAAAAACAGGAACGCAACTTTTATTTCTACTAAATTAGTTCAAAACCTTAGATTTTGCTATGTATATTAACAGGTTTACAAGAGTAGTAAGTACAAATTAGTTATCCATGTAACTGACTTCTTAAAGTTTATTTCTGATACGACTATAGCTTCTCTGAAAATAGCCAGAAGTCTCTGAGTGAGCAGTTAATACCTGTGCTTCACCGCAGGCAGAGCAGCTCTTCCTGCAGGGCGCCCAGGGCACCGGCTCCTCACGGCCGGGGCAGCACTCCCAGGTGGAGGTGCCACCACCTACGGTGTGAAGGGCTCCCCCTGGAGCCCAGATGCGGACCAGCCCAGACCAGAGGCAGCCTGGGATCTGGGTTGATAGGGTGTGGAGGACGCTGGGCTACGCCAGGGTCCTGGGCGCCTGCTGCATGCACAGGGCGGAGCAGGAAGGCAGGGCGGGAGAGGGACAGGCTCCTCTCTCAGGCTGGAAGCAGGCAACACAGGGACAGCACAGGCTCCTTGTGAAAGCGACTCAGAGACACGAGCAGGAGGGAGAGGGGAAAGCGCTTTCCAAGAAACTGAGCAAGTGCTCTGGGCTCAGGAGGACAATCACGAAATAGGAGGGGCTAACTTGCAGCCTGCAACTCCAGCGTCTGGGCGGACAGACTCTCCAGACGCTCCTCAGAGCACGAGGACCTGCTCAGAGCAGAGGAAGGGGGAGGCCTGGGGCCCCAAGGCCGCGACCAGCACACAAGGTGAAGCATGAGAGGGGCTCTGGTTCTACGTATCAACTTCCTCCAAACGTCTCAGCTTCTCTAAAACTCACCACACCAACACGATTTTAAAATGTGACACTATGAAATATACTTTTCAAAAAGTACAAGAAGCTGATTTAAGACATCAAAAAAAATTGCAATTCATACTTTCAATTGTTTTTCTTAAGGTCTGTCTCACCTCTGCCATTTGATCATAAACTGCTTAAGGGAGGACCCATGTTAAAATTTGTCTTGCTCTCAGCACTCAACACTAAAACTTTCACTATGTAAATGTTCAAACATACTCCAATACATTTTAAAACATCTTCTCATGTAGCAGTGCATAAAGAACAGTGTGAACAAATATAATAACAGGAGCTTACCATGGAAACCACTAGAACTAAAGCCAGCTAACATAGCAAACACAATTTTTCAAAATCCTTCAATTTTGGAAGTCTTGAACTTAGTGAAAAAAATCTATACATAAACTAAGACTCAACAAGGACTAGTGATTCTCAGAACTGAATGTTAAATAACTTGATTTTACTCTAAATAAGTGTAAGAACTACACTGGCAACTAATAATTCTCCTAAGAACTCTAATATTTAAATATTGTAAGCAGCGCGTCTACCAACTCACTCAAAGTCTGAGACCTTCTGGGGAGGAGAAAACGCAGCCAAGGCAGTGACGCGGCGGCCCCAAGCCCACTGCGGGCTGGCACCTGGGGAGCCAGGGCTCAGAGAGAGGCTAAAGGACGCGCAGGGCTGGCAGCTCTCCCACACGAGCACAACTGCCTGAAGGACGGCAGGGCTGGCCTTTCCGTTGCCAACTAGAGCTTATCCAAAAAGTAGTCTGATGCTCTATTTACCTCAGATAAAAATCATCAGGTTAAGAATACACAGGTGAGCATCCACTTAAGAGGAGAGTAAAGTAAGAGGAAGGTATTTTCAACTTTTTCTGTTGCCAACAAATCAAGGAATTTTCAAAGCAAAACTGAGAGTAGAGTTTTAAAATACAACAACATGATTTTCACCTAGGTAGAAAGTTAAGTCAAACTAACTTTTTCTTTTATGTCACCATGACTTTGGCACATTCTGCTCATAGACAAAAGGAAACACAACCCTAGGCCAAGGGGAAATGGGCCCCGGGGAGGCCCACAGGGGGCTGGCGGTGTGCCCGCCCAGCCGCCCTCCTCCTCACCCTCCCGCGTGTTACCTTGGCACCAGACTGCTGCCCGCTTGTCTTCTTCTTACCTTGTCCTTTATACTTTGGTATCTGAGCATGAGAATAAAATGACATTTTACCACAAAACAGAAATCTTTAAAAGTAAACTAATTCATACCAAACTAAAAAAGATTCCTATCAGAAAATGTCTTAAAAATGGAAAATCTAACTAACATATTCTTCTTTGAAACAGTTTTTTGCCTTTTCTTGACACTCTTCCTAAACTCACGCTGCAGTTCATGTCCAGCAGTCACGGGGTCACACACAGGGCCCGCAACCTCACCCTGCCTGGCTCCCTGTGTGAGACTCACTCCGTCCCACTCTGGCCAGTGACACCCCAAGAAAGCCAGCCTTCCATCCTCGCAGCTTCCTTTAGGAACCACCTTTCTCGGGGGGATGCAGAGCAAGCGCGTCCAGGCTGGGCTGAACCTTGGGCCTGGCCACAGCTTTCTGGGACTCCTAGAGCTCTCCAGGCTGATGAGGTGCCCTTCTTAGAGCCCCAGACACTCGCAGACCTCAGAGAGAGAAGGAAGCTGGCCAGAAAGGGGTGGGCAAAGTACTGCGATCCCGAATCAAGATCCTGTAGGACTAGAGAGGAACCGCATTTTAATTGCCAACAGAATGCCTTGTCTTCAAATAGCCCCAGCCAGCCCCACTAGAGACGAGCTATGGTGTCCGAAGTGCCCACTGCCCCCACAGGCCTAGGTGCTGAGGGAGAGCTCAGGCAAAGCTGAAGACCATCAGAAGGTGGGTGGGGATCACCTGGAAATCAAGTGTCTCCAGGTTCACCTTAAAAATTACCATCACTTCTCATTTCCTGACTTCAAACTTAAGAGTCTCATGATCATTCTCATGATACAGCTTAAAACATTTTTATGTAGAGAGAATAGAAATACACAATACATACAACAAACATTAATATATCATACTGAAGACATACAATATGTGGAAAGTCCGTATTGCTAACATGCTTTAAGAAATAATATCTAAAAAGAGAACTTCCAAATAACTCAGTGTTACAGATACTAATAAGTATTTTGGAATATGCATTAATTTTAACCCCACTAAAGCCAGATATTCCCACAGAAAGCAAAGCTTTCTCTCCCTGCGGCTCTCTGTGTGGCACCTAACCTGAAGAAAGCATCAGACTCACAACCTCGCTCTCCCTGCACAGCAGTTCCAGCCTGACGAGCATCGTGGGAGAAGCCTTCCTAGACAACACCTGCCCCTCATCCCAGGAAAGGCTAACTGGACCTCAGGGAACAGGACACCTACCACCAGCATGATGGCCTCATTCCTGGTTAGGAATAATGCACAACATTCCTCGGACTCCCGAATTTAAAAAATAAAAAGGAGCCACAAAATCAAAGAACCAGCAACAAACAACTGGAACCATTCACTGGTGTCTACTCCCAGGCATCCGGAAAAGAAAGTAATTGAGCAGTGTGACCGCTGCTCTCGAGAAGCGCACCTGATTCAGAAAGGCACTGCTGGTGCCATGAACACGGCACCAGGGCCGTCGGGGACGACGTGCTCCACCAGAGGCACGCACACAGCACTGCAGACCCACGCCCCGCGGGGCAGGACCGGCAGGTTCGCCCACCGCACTGACGGAGCGCCACCCAGCGCAGGGGAGGACGCCCTTCCTGACGGTCACCCTTCCATCCACCCCACTAGGACGGGCAGCCCTGAGTCTAAACTCCAGCAGGGGTCCCACTCCGTTTCTTCTCCATTACCCAAATCCCTGAAGTCAGAAGGCCTTAACTTCAACAGCTCATACACACACACACATGCACACACTGAGACACACACCTTCATACACATGCACGCACACAGACACACAACTCATACATACACACGTGTGCCGACACATACATGACACACATACAACTCATACACACATGCACGTATAAACACAACTCACACACACACACACCCTCATACATACACATGTGCAGAGACGCACACACACATGACAGAGACACACACAACTCACGCATACGCATGCACACCCACACAAAGATAACCAGAGTACAAAAATGTTCTCGTAAATTCTCAAAATAGCTAATCAATATAAAAAATCATAATAATGTACAATTCCAAATCTGAGCACCTGTCTATACTATTTAACACAACAATTTTATATTCTGGAACTTAATATTCTGAAATTATAGGAATTTAAAAGTGAAAAATAAGTAAACTTCCTTTGTCAATTGGACCAAATGTTCAAAGTATGAAATGAATCCAAATATCCTACAATTCTGTTATTTAACAGCATGTTTCTTTCTATGGTACAATAATCAAAACACTATCAACAAAGCAAAAGAATTAATTTTAAAAAATTTTTCATTAGAGAAAGTAAATTCAGTATTTTAAAAATGCATAGTACTAAGATACAATCTCATATGGCTCAGCATATAAATCACTGATGAAACAATTTAGGAACATACTCACATGGCATTTTAAAAAACCTGCTGACTTGTGTAATGGTCCCAAAGGAGCTTATTAAAGTTTCAGAAGATTCTCATAAATAAAGATTTCAACAAAGGATAAAAAGCACTTTCAACAACAATGACACTGGCACCAAGACTAGAGACGGGAGCCCTGGCCCACTCACCTTACTGGGAGGAGTGTGTGCACCTGTTTTTCCTTCTGGTGACTTTGGTGGAGAATGTATATCAGACAGGTCCAGTGCACCCTGAAATATTACATGGTTGAAAATTAAGACACATTTAAAAACAAACCATGAAATACTAGTTATACCTCAATAGAATTTAAAACCACTACACAATGTTGCCATTTTTATTTCTTCCCATTAATATAAATATCCTTAGATTTTCTCCAAATTTTACCAAAACCACAAATAAACAGACTTAGGATTCTAATTACCTGCTGAGTATTTCCCTCAAGCACCTGGAACAGGCTCCTCAGGCCACATGTATTAATAAATATGCCCCTAGCGTTCTTTCCAAGTGAACCTTCTCACTTTGCTTTCCCTGCTCTCCACAAAAACACCGTCCTCTGATTCTCAAAGATCGTCTCTTTCTTCCCTCCCTGGACTTACTTCTTTACTTCATTTGGTCTCAAAACAAACAAACAAATAAACAAAGTCATAAAAACAAGTAACTATTTCAAGAATGCAGGACGAGGCACCCAGCTACAGGGGCTGCCAGGAGTGAGACAGGAGAAGGTGGCCCGCAACACTGCACAGCTGGGTGGGGGAGAGGACCGCCGTTTCAGGTGGAAGAGAGAAGAGGAAAAGGACAAGGCAAGGAAGCAAAGGCCACTCTAGGGTACGCTCTGTCTGGCCTAAGTACAAGCTTCCAGATTTCAAAACCAGCCATGAGGCTAGAAAGCCAGGGTGGGAGCACATCATGCAGGGTCTTATGGCTGAGGAAGTGAGAGTTGCTCAGTTGTATCTGATTCTGTGACCCCATGCACGTAGTCCGCCAGGCTCCACTGTCCATGGAATTCTCCAGGCCAGAACACTGGAGAGGGCAGCCGTTCCCTTCTCCAGGGGATGTTCCCAACTCAGGGATCAAACCCAGGTCTCCCACATTGCAGGCGGATTCTTTACCAGCTGAGCCACAGGGGAAGCCCACAGCTGAGGAACCTGAAGATTATGCAGTGTCATTCCATACTCACTGCAATGTTTAAAGAGGGACAAAATAGACAAAGGGCTGAATTTTAGAATTAATTCAGCAATCATGAACAGAAAAGACTGAAAAGATGTGGGCCCAGCAACCTGGTTTTAAGGAAGGTTTAAAATGCACGTTTTGAGGCTTCCCAGGTGGCACTAGTGGTGAAGAACCTGCCTGCGTTTCAGGAGGTATAAGAAATGCAGGTTCCATCCCCGGGTTGGGAGGATCTCCTGGAGGAGGGCAGGGCAAGCCACTCCAGTATTCTTGCTGGAGAATCCCATGGACAGAGGACCCGGCAGCCTATGGTCCAGGGGTCGCACAGAGTCGACTAAAGCAACTCGGCATGCACACACACACACACAAAGCACTTTTGGTGAAAGCATCTCTGAGTACAGTGGGCTAATCCACGGCTAGTTTTCTTCTCCAGCATCAAAAGTCAAAATGAGGTCAATGAAATCTACAATTTTTTATTTCATTATAAAAATCACAGAATGTTTCCCCTCAAAGTGGTGAGGAATAGTAAATGACAAAAGGGCCAAAGCAGATACCTGTGAGCGCCCTGCTTTAAGTACCAACCCACTGTGTGTGTGCGTGTGTGTACACCCATGAACTACTAAAAGACGACACCGGGTAAGACGGGGGTAAAACCAGCCAGCAGTGGAGCTGACACGTCCGGCCCCACGGGAGGCTCTGCGTCCTGAGCGGGATCCGCTTCTGGAGCCACAGAGACCCCACGCCCAGTCCACAGGACGGCCTTCAACCACACCAGGCAAACTGAGTGGGAAGCTCTGGACCCACCTGTCAAGAGTTACAGATGGAAAACGCATTTACTGAGTCTCGATTCCAAATCTAACCAACCAGACAGGAGAGCTCCTATCGGGTCTTTGAGGCAGACATTCTGCTGAGTAGGGCACAGAGAGCTTCCAGGAACCAGCCTTTCTTTCAGGAGCTGCTGCCAAAGCTACAGGGCACAGGAGGGACAGCGACAACTCTTACTGAGAAACGGGGCCAGGCCCGAGCCACGTCACAGGGACAGAACCTACACAAACTGAGACGGAACATGCAGAAGGGCCAGGCAGGTTGGGGGTGGGGGTCACTTCTGGTCTGGTGCAGCTTTCACTGTGTTAGAAGTAAAGACAACAAAGTCAGTTTTCTTTCACAAAGATTCACACATGCTAGTGAGTTAACCAGGTGAAGGGCTGGAAATTCTGGTCTCAAGCCTGTGACAACGATTGGGCTGGACTTGGGAGTCCTGTGTTCAGTCCCAACAGCAAAGGAAGGAAGAGGAACAGTGGTCACGGCCTGCCCAGCACGGCTCCCAGAGCTCCGTGACATGGCAGCCTCTGGTCCTCGATGCAACCACAAACACACCTGGCTCTCTCCATCTCATGGGGACGGGGCCCAAGGCACACACCTGACTCTCTCCATCTCGCAGGGGCGGGACCCGAGGCACGCGGGGGTTAAGTGGCTGAAGACAGTCACACACAGGATGGAATGAGCTGCGCTGCCACCCAGGCAGTCTGGCCCCCGAGCCCAGGTTACTGCCGGGCGCTGAGGCAGGGAGAGCGAGCCAGAGAGACAACGGGCAGCCAGCACCGCAGGAGGGGAGCCAGAGAACAGGGAGCAGTAGGACCAAAGGGGCAAGCGGACAGACCCAGCAGGCAGGCCACAGAAGCCAAGGACACGTCACCTCCACCCACAGACCGAGGCCCGGGAGACAGCAGGGACCAAGGCCACCTTTTAGTTCACCAGAAGCTAGCACAACAGCCTCATGGAAAAAGTTCACACCAAAAACTGCTTGACTGTTACGCATGACTGAGCCCCCAGTGCATGAGCTGCAGTCGGGGCTCACCGCCTTCTCCAACGCCCTTCCTGAAACAGCTACTGCTCCCTGCTAACTAAAATCACCACCCCGAGGAGGTGCGGAACTCATCATGGACCACGGGATCTGTCCTCTGTGGCGGCTGCGTGTGCTCAGTGCTCAGCAGTGTCCGACTCTCTGCAACCCGTGGACTGCAGCCCGCCAGACTCCTCTGTCCATGAGACTCTCCAGGCAAGGATACTGGAGTGGGTTGCCATTCTTCAGGGGATCTTCCCAACCCAGGGACTGGAACCCCTGTCTCTTCCATCTCCTGCACTTTAGGTGGATTCTTTACCAGCTGAGCCACCATGGAAGCCCTAGTTTAAACGTCCATTTCCTTATGTGAGCACATCTTGACCAGCTCCCAACTCCTCTAGAACAGATGGCTTGCTTACATTTTATCTTTTAATTAAACAATCTATTTAGTATGCCTTTGATGCTATAGGTATTCAGTCAAGCTTTAATGATTTTCAAAGATTCTAATGGGAAATACACTCTGAGACTCTCCAAATTGAGTAATGGCAGCCCATAACCTTCCAGGTTCCTACCTACCCACTTCTATTCAACCAGGTATCTGAGACAGTCACAATGTTGTCTGTGTCAGTGAAACAGCATCTTGATGGAAAATTATTGTTTGTAAAGGAAATCAGACTGTTAATCTCATTAGCGTGATTTCTTAAAAAAAAAAGGCTAAGAATCAGAAATACAGTGGCTAATTTAAAAATTACAAAAACATTTGGAAACTGCAGAATCAACAGTTTAATGTTTTCAGCCTAGTTTAAAGAAGATTTTAAGTTCAAAAAATTGTTAACAAGCCTACAGCTCAGCCTACGTTTAGAAGAGGTAATAGAAATAACAACCAGCAATCTGTTGGGTGTTCTCAGCATCTCACATGCACCAACTCATGCGTGTAAGCCTCCCAATGCCCGAGTGAAGTCCACCATTCCAGTCCACAGAGGAGGAGCCAGGAGGGGAGTCACGTGACCAAGGCCAAACTCGGCTAGTGGGGGAGCCGCAGGGGCTCCACACACACGGCCCCTGAACCCCGCCCTCAGAGTGTCCCTCCCCAGAAAAGGTGCAACAGCAGCAGCCCTAGAGCTTCTGCGTCTACAGTTTTCATTAAATTGTGCATTTATACAATCTCTGAGTACGTCTGGTTTGATTTGAAGGAGTGGCCTCTTTTTATTTCAACCTGACTCAACACGTGTCAACTAATCCGCACAGCTGCCCTAGATAGGCAAAGAGTGGAAAACAGGAACAGATAACAAAGGACAGGACTGTACTCACTTCCCCACTGGTTGACCCTTTTTCTTTCTGTTGACAGCGTCTGATCACTTCTAATAATAAGGGTCCACCCACAGTACCTTCGGCTTCAATAATTCCTAAATCTCGGGCTAAATTCTCTCGACCTTCAAGACCTTGAAACTGGGAAAGAAATAAGATGTAAGAAAGTAAAACAGAAATGCACAGAAATATAGCAAAATTATTTTCAGAGGCGAAAGAAAAGTATTTTCAAACTTAAAGACATCCCTAATCTCAAAGACATCATTTTTCTAACGTCTCCATTTTTAAGGTTATGCATCTCCATATTTGAAGTCCCCACGAGCAGGTGCAGGCTAACACTGGGACAAGCTTACTCTACAACAACAACTGTGTCAACTTCTGTGAAGCAGGGACACTGGTGCCAGCTGTCTAACAGCTCAGATGGCATCTAAGAAACTAAGACATAGTCAACTATAAAAAATAATCTTTATGCAAGACACTCTCAATTGTCCAATTTTGTTAACTTTCAACTTGTAATGAACCCATCTGTGTCAAAGGCGGTTTCAAGGACAGACATTAAAAAGCATCATTCTTACTGTGCTAGTTTCAGGCTGAAAAACTGCCAAGGTAAAGTCAAGATTAAAAAACTGAAGAAATTCGGCAACGAGACTGGCCACCAGTCGGCCTGCAAAGAGCAAAAGAGAAGATGGGAGAGGATCTTTAGGAACCCAAGGCCACGTCACCAACACTGGAAGTAAGATAGCTAAAGGGAATAAAGTTTCTCAGGGTTTTAAATTACAATTTCTTCTCTCTGAATAATACAATTAAGGGATAAATGTCTCAGTCTCCCTCATTAGGATTGTCAGTCTGAAACAATAAATAAGACAATATGACGTTCCATAAATGGATTAGACTATTTTGCTTATAACTTTACAGTACATCAGCTTTCTGTAATAAAACTGTGTTTAACCAATAATATTCCATAGCCAAAGATTTTCAATAGCAAATCAACAGTTGTACAATTTAGAACGAGAACTTCTAATAATTGACATTTCAAAAAATAATCTGAAACTCCTGACTTATCTCAAATGGAATCAAATGGAGTCAAGATTCAAAAAATTCAGAGACAGACAAAATAAACAACAAATATCTTACCGTCCTTTGTATTTAAAAACTTTTTCAGGCTCTCATTAACTAAAGGAGTTTTGTTCTGTTAAAAAAATGAAATATCATTAAGCATTACATGTTCATCCCCAAAACCACTACAAAATGTAGACTAAAGTTTAATTTTTTGGCAAGATATTAGTAAAATACTGTCACACAAAAAAATCATGGTTAAACCCATTCTGTAACTACTGATTATTACACGAACTGTTTTTTTGTTAAGGTAAGGACTGAGATACTCAATTAGGAGATTCGTCCTGACAGCAGCAAAAGAAATTTTTAGGTGTAATAGTAATGGATTTTAAATGTTAATGAATTAGAGGGCCCCTGGAGCATAAGGGACTATGAAACCATTTCTTCAAGTGTTTCCAATTTCCCCTAAGAAAAGGGATTGATGAGATTTAGTACTGACTTCAGAGTTCCTATGATAACCTTCTTTAGGTTACTCCAAAACTCTAAAATATACATGAAAAGAGGATAATCTTGACTCTCCCCTAACAGTAAAGGAGCATAATCTTTAGTTCAAAATTATCCTGGCTATACACCACTATAAACAGCATTTCAGAATGGTTTTTCGGCAATTAGACCTTAAACGTAAATGAACGTGGCCATTAAAGTTTGTAGACTTCATACCTCTACTTTTTCTTGCTCCTCTAGTGCTAAAAACACAGCTGCCCGGAGTTCAGCCTTTAAGGGGGGGTGGGGGAGGAGAGGAGAGGAAAAAAAAATTATCTCCAGACAATTTTCATGGCAAGAAGCACAAACACCGAAATTTCCAAAGCCAAAACGAAAACCAGCAAGATTATAATGCTCAGGAGGCAGGCGCAGAGAGAGGTCAGAGGGCATTCTGACACACTCTGAAGACAGTGACGCAAGCTCTCAAGTCCACTGGTCGTGCCCCTGGCACTGTCGCTCTCAGCACCCGTCTCTCTGGTTTAAGCTGGGATGTCCAGTCCTTAATCATGCCCACCAGTACTGCGAATGAATGAGAAATACACTCCAAGAAACAAGCTGCTGGACATCCACAACCCGCCTGTTACAGCCAGCTGGAGGGGCTGGCCGACCGGCAGCTCAGGCCAGAGGCGGGGGAGACCCAAGGCGTGGGGAACAACTCGACCACCGGACTGCGGGCGACTGGACCATCGCAGGCGAGGCGGGGACCACGGAGGAGCAGTGGACAACGGGGCCACCACCAAACGTGCAGTGGGGATCAGAGGGGACAGCGAGTTAGCTGGACCTCAAACGTGCAGGGGCTGCAGGCGACTGGACCCCCGCGNCAGGAGGCAGGAGGAGATGGCGGCGTTTGGAAGGAGTCAGGTGCACGCCTGAGGGTCGCTGCTGTGGAAGAAGGGCTGAAGTCCTGGGTCCCCCAGTGGCTTCCCAAGGTGCGGCCGAAGTGTGTGTGCGGGACAGGTGTGTGTGCACGCTCCCTGGGAGCGCACACCTCCCCGCGCCTTGCACTGGAGGGTGTGTGGACGTGCAAGCGCTGCGCTGCGGTGCTTTCCACCCTGCGTGTTCGCACAGCTGCGCTGTCACGTGTGGAGGAAGGTGATCCCAAACCACTAGCAGTTCAAGGGGAAAGCTGTAGATTCTAGAATCCCCGGACTCCCGCTCGGCGGGTCTGCAGCCCGTCCTCAGAGTCGATTTTCCCCAGGAGCCTGGGGGCTCCAACGCTCTGGTCTGCAGGTGACCCTCTGAGATACAAATGAGTGAGAAAGGAAAAGGCACGGTTTCCTGGCAGGTCTGTTCAAACTGACATGTGCCTTTCCAGAAAGCCTTTTACATGTGGGTATGTTACATACACATAGTTCTTTTTTCACTTCCCTAATTTGGATGCTATGCTTACTACCTTTTAATTTACTAACTTTACTTAATAAATCCTGATCATTTTTTTGACGGGTACATAAACATTCTGCCTCTCTTTTTAGCTCCTATGTAGTATTCTCTTTAAGGATGTTCACAGCTATTCTTTGTAATTAGGCTCTGATTTATTTGCATTTGTTTTGTCTGTTATGAAAGTTACTCATGCCAGTGGTTGAAAATTAAAAGAAAGGGGGAAATGCTAAAAGTATCTACATCCTCCCTACTCACCTAGGCCTCACCTGTTACCATACCCTACTGAAAGTGAAAGTCACTTGGTGCTATCTGACTCTTTGTGACCCCATGGACTATACAGTCCATGGAGTTCTCCAGGCCAGAATACTGGAGTGGGTAGGCTTTCCCTTCTCCAGTGAATCTTCCCAACCCAGGGATCGAACCAAGGTCTCCCCCAGCTATTAATTTTGTTTTTAGTTTTTTTTTTTTAGTTCTGGTTCTTTTCAACTCTAAATACCCTGACCCATCAACCATAAAAAAATCTTTTCAAAGAATAAAAATTCATCTTTTCTTTCAACTACTAATTTTAAAAATTACATACTTTTACTAATAGTGGAAGATTTTGTGAGTTTTAAATTATTTACCTAAGTCATTATTTATAAATTTACATATTACCTATTGGCTCCCTGCAAAGGTAGATGAGGAAGTTAGTGTATCTATACTCTTTTCCACCCATGTTATTAGTTCAAGTTTTATTTTTATATCATCAAGAACTTGCATTCCCTTCTGTACTTAAAATTACATTTCAGACTTTGTCCGTAATTGATGGAAAACAGTCAGCAGCATTCACAGTATTCGGGGTGTATCAGGTCTGTAGGCAGAGCCCATATACCCTTCAGCTGAACCTTTTCTGCCCCGGGCCAGCCTCCAGCTTTGGCTTTTTTAGCCACCAGAGTCTTGTCTGCCTGCACTGGGAGAAGGCCTGAGGTGCCAGGGGATTTGTCCCTCCTGAGAATGCCTGCAATCACAGACCGTGAACAGGGAGAGTGCCTGCAGTCACAGGCCGTGAACAGGGAGAGTGCCTGCAGCCACAGGCCGTGAACAGCTGAGGAACCCCAGCTCTGTCACCCTGGGGGCAGGAGACACATCTCAGGCATGTCCACTAGCTTCCAGTGTTCAGGTTCAAGTTCTAGTTAAATGGAAACAGGCTTTATGAGTTTCCTTCACTGCCTGGTCCAGTGTCCCTACTCGCTGGTGTTTCTTGGGATCCCCTCCCAAGGCCCTCAAACCAAGACAGTCCCCCCAGACTGAGTCATGCGAAGCAGACACAGGGATGGGGCCTGGAATTCGGTTCCTCATCAGTCAGATGGCAGCGAGGACCCACCGTGGTGATAAGCGGGGTGGTGGTAACCCTGGAGAGGTACCACAGCGTCGCGGTTGTGACCCAGCGGGAAGGAGGTGCATGGGGGGGCGGTGCTGACTTGTGCAATCCCTCCAACATTCGGGGAAGTGGGAGCAATGGTGATTTTAAAGACTGTGGAGTCAGTTTGCTTTTTTCTTTTAATGATAGAAAAATGCGGAAGGAAGAATACGACAGCCAACCATCAGCCCAGAGTGTGTACCCGTGAAATCACTTTGGTAGAAAACACTAAGGAAATGGGCGAGTACATAAGTTAGAGCTTAAGGGGAAAAACCAGTTGTTAAACACTTCCTAGCACACTTCCCTCCCCTTCCCTGGGCTTCCTGAGTCTGAGGATTTATTGTGGTGGTTGTAAAGTCACGAAGTCGTGCCCACTCTTTGCAACCCCGTGGACTGCAGTACACCAGGCTGCCCTTTCCTTCACCATCTCCCAGAGCTTTCTCAGACTCTCGTCCATTGAGTCGGTGATGCCATCGAACCATCTCACCCTCTGCTACCCCCTTCTCCTCCTTCTTTTCCTGAGGATTTCAACTGCTTGTTAATTCTCAAGGCCTCCTGGCCTTTCTAAGCCTCAGTTTCCTCAGTTATAGAGCATTAATCTACCTCACAGAATTCTGTCATTTAAAATAACACAGACGAGGATCTGGTCTGTTGGTGGGGGCGAGATGAACGTGGGCAGAGGGAACCTGCAGGCAGTAAGCAGGCCACGGTACACATCTTTATTTGGCCTCGGCAGGTCGGCAGCTGAAGTTCCTGTTTCAGCTGAGTTAAGCTTCTCCATTTTTATTCTTTTAGCAGCTTTGGAAGGTAACTTTCTAAGTCACTAGGGTATAATTTCAATTGCTGCTGCGTCGCTTCAGTCGTGTCTGACTCTGTGCAACCCCACAGGCAGCAGCCCACCAGGCTCCCCTGTCCCTGGGATTCTCCAGGCAAGAACACTGGAGTGGGTTGCCATTTCCTTCTCCAGTGTATGAAACTGAGAAGTGAAAGTGAAGTCGCTCAGTCGTGTCCAACTCTTTGCGACACCATGGACTGCAGCCTACCAGGCTCCTCCATCCATGGGATTTTCCAGGCAAGAGCCATTGCCTTCTCCGAATTTCAATTACTACTCTATCAAAAAAGTTATAACTCCTCACTTGCTCCCAGGGAGTCATTTATACAGTGGGGGAATTTACCTTAAAAATGTATGGGTGTTTCCTATCGTAAAGTCCATAGAATGGAAGCTCTGTTAAAATATTCATTTCCTTCAGCACTTTAACACAGAAAATGTCACTACTTATAATTTGTAAATGTGGGATTTTTAATGTTGTTGTTGTTCAGTCGCTAAGTTGTGCTGACTTTTTGCGACCCCATGAATTGCAGCACACCAGGCTTCCCTGCTTATTTTCATAATTAAAGGAAACATACTATTACATTTTCTAAATATCCCAAATAACCCTTAAATTAAGCACTAAGAAATGGGAAATGCCTTCTTACTTGATTTGGGAGATAAGAGAGCTGTTCATGTATTAATTTTCATATCACCAAAATTGATGGATTAAAGGCTAAAAAATACTTGAAATAATAAAAAAGATGCCCTTAGATGTGGCAATTATGTGCTCACATTTAGCTTGTTCTTGTACTTACTAATTTAGCTTCCATGTTCTATTTAAGAAAACCAGTGCACAGTTGATGAGTTTGCATTGTTTAATTCACCTCCTTATAAGAGTTATTCAGTTTATCATAATTTTCACAGCTTTACTGAGAAATAATTCACATATCATACACTCATCCATTTAAATCATACAAGTCAATGATTTTAGTACATCTGCAGAGTTGTGCAACATCACCACATCCTAATTTTAGAATATTTCTGTCCTCCCTAAAGGAAACCCTCACCCATTAGCAGTCACTCTCCACCCCACCAGAAGCCCCAGGCAACTGCTGATCTACTTCAGGTTTCTGCATTTAGCCTACTCTGGTCAATTTCTACAGATGGAGTCACCTTTTGTGCCAGGCTTATTGCTCTTAGCGTGATGCTCTCAAAGTTCATCCATGTTGTGGCTTGAATCTGTACTTCATTTCCTCTTACTATTAATATGCAGTAATATTGCATTGTATGGTTATAACTCATTTATCTATTCATCAGTCAGTAGACGTTTGGATTGCTTCCTAGTTTGGGCTATTATGAAAAACACTGCTATAAACACTCATGTACAAGTCTTTGTGTGAACATATATTATTCACTGTATTTCTTTTTTTTGTTTGTTTGTTTGTTTGTTTTTTCATTTATTTTTATTAGTTGGAGGCTAATTACTTCACAACATTTCAGTGGGTTTTGTCATACATTGACATGAATCAGCCATGGAGTTACATGTATTCCCCATCCCGATCCCCCCTCCCACCTCCCTCTCCACCCGATTCCTCTGGGTCTTCCCAGTGCACCAGGCCCGAGCACTTGTCTCATGCATCCCACCTGGGCTGGTGATCTGTTTCACTATAGATAATATACATGCTGTTCTTTCGAAACATCCCACCCTCGCCTTCTCCCACAGAGTCCAAAAGTCTGTTCTGTACATCTGTGTCTCTTTTTCTGTTTTGCATATAGGGTTATCGTTACCATCTTTCTAAATTCCATATATATGTGTTAGTATACTGTAATGGTCTTTATCTTTCTGGCTTACTTCGCTCTGTATAATGGGCTCCAGTTTCATCCATCTCATTAGAACTGATTCAAATGAATTCTTTTTAATGGCTGAGTAATATTCCATGGTGTATATGTACCACAGCTTCCTCATCCATTCGTCTGCTGATGGGCATCTAGGTTGCTTCCATGTCCTGGCTATTATAAACAGTGCTGCGATGAACACTGGGGTGCACGTGTCTCTTTCAGATCTGGTTTCGTCAGTGTGTATGCCCAGGAGTGGGATTGCTGGGTCATATGGCAGTTCTATTTCCAGTTTTTTAAGGAATCTCCACAGTTTTCCATAGTGTTCACTGTATTTCTTACT